TTTTTTTTTTTTTTAATTTTTTTTTTTTTTTTTTTTTTTTTTTTTTTTTTTTGTACCAGGGATTCAACTCAGGTCCTTGTGCTTGTGATTTAGGTGCCGGAACCACTGAGCTAAATCCCCGGCTCAAAATTATTTTACTTTTTTTGTGGGGGAGGTACTGGGGATCGAACTCAGGTCCTCGAGCTTGTGAGGCAGGTGCTGGAACCACTGAGCTAAATCTCCGGCCCTTAAAAAAAATTTTTTTTTTTCATTTAAAAGTAATTTTTTTAAAAAGCTTTTTATGACAGTATGTCTTTAGGTGCTATGCCTTTCTAATTGAGGGAACCAGATACCAAATTCATTATTGTTGAGAAATAAGTAAGTTCTTCTAAATATGAAGCATACAGTTCATGGTTTTTGAGTCCTTCCATAGCTGGTGTCTGATAACTTGGATTTTGCATGGTTGAGTTTGTTTGACACCTGCCCTTTTTCAGATAAAATATTTATGTTGAGGTTATATGTTGACAAAGTCCTAATCAGTTATCCCTTTACTGTAGAAGGAAGAGTGCTTGAGAAATTATAGGTAGTAAAAAATACTCAATTTGAAAATGTCTTATTTCACAGCTCAAAGTTATGAAGTTTCAGGATGAATTGGAATCTGGAAAAAGACCTAAAAAACCAGGCCAAAGTTTCCAAGAGCAAGTTGAACACTACAGAGATAAACTTCTTCAACGAGTAAGGATTAAGTATTTTCAATAATATGCATTTTCTAAAGCTATTTGTTGGATTTCCTAGAAATTAGTATATTGGCATACTTAAACTATATTTTAGTTATATCCTTTTTGTAAATCTTCAATACTGGTAGGTAATTAGAAACATTTGAAATTTGATATTTTAAAACAAATTTTATCTTGGAAAAGAGATCTTCAGGCAGTAGCACATGATTTTGCCTGTGGACTGAAGGATTAATCCTATGTAAGAGGTGATTCTGAACTGGTAGACAAAGTTACATTTGTGACAGTAACACACCAACAGCCCGAAGAAGTGGCCCAGAGACAAAGGTGGAGACACAGTTTGACATGGTGTGGGAAATTCATTTAGGACTCCTTTCCCATTGTTTCCAGGAAGGGACTGAAAGTGATAGAATACCTCATCATTGAATTCTAAGGTTTTGAAGGACTTTGTATCCTTGTGTGTATCAACATTTTGGAATATGAAAGAATTTTTCAAACAAGAAACTCCACGTGGTAATTGTTGAAGGAACCCTGAAATATTGTTAGGACTATTTTAACTGTAATAATAAATGAAATTACATAGAGAAATAGGAAAGTGTTATAGAGATGAGTTTATGATCATTCCAAAGCTCTTAATATACAGAACAGGTGATCTAGAGTGGTCTAGTGAAGTGACTGTCCCTGTATAGTCCTAGGGAATCCTATTGCCACACTGCTCTGCACCCCTGGGCTTTTCTCTCTGAAACATAGATTGATATTCCCAGTTTTTTGCAAGATTGTTAAATAGTAGCTATTGTTATTACAATTGTTCTTTATTATTGAATGACAATGTTTAAGATATTTTAAAAGTTTATTAGTATGCCTTCTATGAAATATACATTTTGGTCAGGAAATAATTTTGATTATCGGTCAGGAAAATGCATCTTACACATTATCAGAGGAAGCTAGTCTCCAAGCACCACAGTTGTTTTGTTTTGCTTTTTTTGGTTTTTTAAGGTCTCACTATGTAGTTCCATCTGTGTAGCTCAGGCTGACCTTAAACTTGTTGTGAATCTGCCTTAGCTTGCCAAGTGCTGGTGTACAAGCTTGCATTACCATGCCTGGTTCTCCTAGCACTACTTTTTAAATTTATACTGTCTGTGTTATATTTGGAGATGCTAATTATCTGTAACCTTTTGGGGTGTCCCTTTGAGAATGGTGGCAGGATACTGATCTGCATGGAAGATGAAACTTGAGGTGCACATAGTCCTTGGTATATCAAGCCCCAAATGAGTACCACTTGAGTTTCCTTGCATACCATTGTAATTGGGAGAAAAGATTGTATTTTCTGAAGGAACTTGTCAGCAGCAAAATATGGTCTTTGCTTGATTTTTGCAAATAAAGTTTTATTAGAATACAGCCATGATCATTCCCTTAAGCATTGCCTGTGTAGTAACTTTCATGCTGCAGTGGCAGAGTTAAGTAGTTGTGACAAAGACATTATGTAGCTCTTAAAGTAGAAAATATATATATATTGCAGTACTGGGGATCGAACTCAAGACCTTGCACTTGCCAGGCACGTGCGGTGCCACTGAACTACATCTCTAGCCCAAAGCAGAAAATATTTATCTGGCTCTTTACAAAAAAGTTTGCCTGCATGTAGTATAGGCCTTTTTCATTTAAAAAAAAAAAAAATTAGAAGAGTCAACTGTCATAACTCTTTTGATGCATACAATTTATAGAGCGATTCTTTTATTTTTTATTTTTTATTTTTTTTATTTGGTACCGGGGATTGAACTCAGGTCCTTGTGTTTGCAAGGCAGGCAGCAGAACCACTGAGCTAAATCCCTGGCCCCATAGAGCAATTCTTGATATTGAAGAACTAAATTGGCTTCATAGGTTTATGTCTATAATCACTCTTAATCATACTATTATCAACACAATTCAGAATTTCAAGTGAAAACTGGTAGTTATATGAAGATAAGCAATTTCTGGTTTATACAATTATAGTTATATTTTTATAAATATTTAAATTTCATTATAATACTTGCTTTTTACCAATAAATAATATCTTGATAGAGAATTATTATGAATTATCCTTTCAGTCTTCCTTTGATAGCTCTTTTTCTTTAAGTCAATTTACTATACAGTGAGAAGAATCACATTTTGTAGTTAATTATAATTTGTGATGGAAAGATTGGTACATTATTAACTTTTCTGATTTTTTGGTGGGTGGGGCATGGGGAGGAAGAGCTCTGGCTCTAATACTTGGACTGAAATCCTGACTTCATCCAGTGTAACCATGGATATTGTATTTAATCTTTCTTGGTGGTGTTTTTCATCTCTAGGAGAATAATTGTATTATTCTAGGGTATCATAAAGGTTACATGAAATGGTATATGGAAAATTGTTAAGTACATTGGTTAGACTATGCTGAACATTCGATAAATATTTAGCTGCTTTTGCTAGTATTATTATTCAGTATAAGTTGGGAAAAATGGGTAGTTTCCCTGGAAGGGTTGATATTTTCTTGAAAATGGCAGTATACCTTAGGTAGTGATTTAAAATATTGTTTCCTGAAATAGAAAATATTGTTAGATAAGTGGGATTAACTTAGACTGGTATTTTTCAGACAACTAAATATTTTCTTTAAAAAAAATGAAACAGGAAAAAGAGAAAGAATTAGAAAGAGAACGAGAAAGAGATAAGAAAGATAAAGAAAAATTGGAATCTCGATCAAAAGACAAGAAGGAGAAAGATGAGTGTACTCCAACAAGAAAGGAAAGGTACAACATTTCTCATTTAATATGTATACTCATTCTGAGATTTGGGATGATGCTTTGTTTTATAATATTTTTATCATTGATACCAGCAAACTTCTGAAAGTGTTTTTTCATGATGAACATGTTTGACTCCTACCTGCAGGAGGCAGAATTAGTTGATAAATGAGGCAGTGAGTTGCTGCTGGGTTTAAGTAACTAGGATATCAACCTCTTATATGGTTTATACAGTATCCTCAACCTAGTTCAATGTAAGAATTCAATTACAGTATTTACTATGACATCTGGGGCTAAAATGAGAAAACAGCTTGCTATGTCTTCTTGTAGACTGTGCTATAAGCATTTCTTGCTCTGTACCTGTAAACTTAAGTCTCCATCTTACCTAGAAAGGAAATTGTGTACATCAGCTATAGTTATTTGCTTCTTACTTTTAAGTCTTCTTCTAAGCATATCTCCTTTAGTTTTAATTTCCTATTTTCACAGTTCAGAAATCTCTAAGCAATAGCTTAACAGAATTGAGGTTGCCCAAATTAAAAAAAAATGCAAATAAAATAATTATGGCTTTGTCACTCTAGAGATATACTTAGTTATACCAGTTGCTTAAAATGTGTCCCTTTTTGTCTTTTAATAATTTTGGCTTAATTTCAGATTTACAGAAAAGTTACAACAGTGGTATAAACAATTCCAGATATTTCCCCAAGTATTAAAATATTTGTACTTTTATTCTTCCTTTTTCCACTCTACTTCCATGTAAGAGTAATTGGCCAGTATGATGCCCCTTTTTCTTAATCACACTCATTTAACTTAACCTCAGTAAAAGTATCAAACCATAAAAATAACTTTAAAAACTTCACTGTTAGCTAACCCAGAAACCTTAACTAAATTTTGTTGATTGTCCCCATAATCTCTTTTATAAAAAAAGAAAATTCAGATTAGTTTAATTCAGTTGTCTGTCTCAAAGACTTTTTTGTACTAGGGATTGAACTCAGGACCTTTTGTTTGTTTGTGAGGTGGGCACAGTGCCACTGAGCTTCATCCCCGGCTCAAAGACTGTTTTTGATAGAAAAGACTTTAAGTGTTGTTGGGAAATAACATTAGCGTGCTTAGTGAGATTAAAGTTATTGTAAACTAGTAGCTCATTTATTAAAAGGAAAATGAATAACTAATCCTTTGCTCGCTTATGGAATGTTTTGAGGGCTTTGTTCTTTAGGAAAAGACGGCACAGTACATCCCCCAGCCCATCTCGTAGTAGCAGTGGTAGACGAGTGAAATCACCATCACCAAAATCGGAGCGATCAGAGCGTTCAGAAAGATCTCATAAAGAAAGCTCACGGTCCAGGTCATCTCATAAAGATTCTCCTAGAGATGTTAGCAAAAAAGCCAAAAGGTAAATATGCAAGTTGTCTTTTAAAATAATACTTCAAATATCAATTTCTTTGTCATTTTGCCAGCTTTTGAAAATAATTTGTCAGATGCTTTTTAAAAGATTTTAGAAAATTTTCATTTTAAGTCATTCCGCTCCATATCCCTACCCTACTCTCTATCATGACTAAAATATAAGAAGGCTTCTAAGAAGTTAAAGACCAGCCAGGAATTTTAAAGATAGCCGATATTTGTTGTGGAAGGGGTTAATTGTTTATTGTGCTGCTTAGTGTTGAATGTTCTCAGATTTTGTCAAAGCTAAAAGACAAATACATTTTTTTGAATTGAAATTTAGCAAGCTTATGGATAGAGATTTGTGGAAACACTGTATCATTCATATAATCATGTTATTTCAGTATCATATTCATTAGTCATACTCTTTTAGTTTCATAATAGTGGTTCAGAAATGTATCATGTAAAAAATGTTTTATGTGGGCCGGGAATTTAACTCAGTGGTTCCGTGGCCTGTCTCACAAGCACAAGGACCTGAGTTCAATCCCCAACACCACAAAAAAAAAAAAAAGTTTTATATGGCAACAAAAAGAATTTTTCTGAGAGCTAAAAACTGCTTTATATGCTAACACCTTTATATAAGTATTTTTAGTAATATCTTTAAGAAGTAACTTTTTTTCTAAATGTACCTACCTGAGTGTATGTGTTGTACATGTTTATTTTAGAACTCTTCATGAACAACACTTAATAAAAATAAAGTGTTTTAAGTGATGTACTTAAAGGGTATTGTAGTTGATAACTTTTTCTTTTAAGATGATAGAGTGTAAAGTTGCTGTATTTTTTAAGTTTTGTGAATGATCTTAGGTGCGAACTTGAAATTTACCTTATGGATTAGAAGTTCAAATTTTGGGGGTAGCAGTTAATTGAGCTTGTTAAAAATGCAGCTTCTCAGTCCCTACCTCAAGATTTTGATTCAGTACAGCTATGGGGGTGTTCTTAAATCTGACTTCACACTAGTGCTCTACTGATGATCATTGATGTAATATATAGTAAATACAAAATAAGTTCATGCCTGGTGTGTGTGTGTGTACATACATACGATAGGCAAAATATACATTTGAGAAGTATAGTTTTATTTTTGTGACTTTTCTTGTCCTCTTAAAGATCACTTTAGACAATTAAAAGTAAGCAGTTTGGTCATATGAGCACCTTTGATAACTTGATTAATTTTATTTCCTCAGATCACCGTCTGGTTCAAGGACGCCTAAGAGGTCTAGGCGGTCACGGTCTAGATCCCCTAAAAAATCAGGGAAGAAATCCAGATCCCAGTCTAGATCACCACACAGGTCTCATAAAAAGTCAAAGAAAAACAAACACTGACATCCATTTTTAAGATGCTGTCTCTTATTGGAAATGCGATTTTGTTTGTGCCTGATGGTATGTTTTTTAAAAAAACAAAACCAAAAAAATCAAATGAAAGAGCATTCCTGGTTTTTTTGTTTGTTTGTTGGTGAATGCATGTGTAAACTCATGAGTAACTGCATCTGTAGACCTGTCATTGTTTTATATTGTATAAATTACTTTCATTGTGGCTGTTTCTCAAGATGAAATTTTTACTGTGTTAATGAATTTCATCAGAAATGTGTATAATGGATCTGCTGGCAGTAGTAGTATTTTGTTTTAGGATATTGTGACTTAGCAAAGATAATACAGATGTCTTTCCCCCTTTTGTAGCTTTGACAGTTTGAATTAGATTTCAAATAAAATCTGAACAGAAAACTATAATGTTGTTGTTTTGCCCAGTTGATGATAAAAGTCCCTTGAAGTCCTACTAAGTGAATTTGATGTTACTGTTATGTTTCTTATAATGCACTTTATAATCTCCAATGTTTAAGTAGCTAAAGTTTTATATTTACAAAAATGACTATTGAAATTAAGGGACCTGAGATTCCTACTTGGTAGATTTGGTAATCAATTTCTTCGAAAATGTTTTCTTGGATAATACCAGTATTTAGAGATCAAAAGACTTAAGTGGATGTGGCGTGGTGTTTTGTTCATAGAATGCATCTAAAACATTTTTTTCCCCAAGAAGCAATATGGTTTCAATATACTTTACCCATGTCCTGAGTAACTACTTATTTTTAGGAGAAAAATCTCTATCTTTTGACTTTATCATGAAAGAAGTTTATTTATAAAAAAAACTTTTCTAACAAGATTTAGCCGTCAAATTCTTTTATATGATAGCTGCTCTTTTATAATGTTCTGTAGACTGTTTCAAACACTGGTATCAGAATATTTCTACAAATTTATGTTTAGAACACCTTTTTTTAAAAAATATGGTTTTAGGTCTAGTTTCAAGTAAAGTTAAAAAATAAAATGGTTTTTAGGAAATTTAACATCAGATGGTTTGTAAATTTAGGTACAGAAAGTTGATATGGACCATTTACAGAGTTGAATTCTATTATGAGAATAAAATTGCTGCAGTCTGAGGAAACGAGGAAACTTGTGTAATGTTGATAATATTGCTATAAATATAATAAAGGGTTGCAGAGAATTGAACTGACACTATTTGTCAATCTTTTAGTTTTTCATTTAGGCCCTTCATGTTTTTCCCCCTCTAGTAGAGAAAGTAGAAAACTATTTTAATAACAGATTGTTTTGATTTCCCTTGCTTAAATATCTTTTCAACTTGTTTTACTTAACCTTGTCTAATCAGAAAATAAGATATTATGTACATATGATTTGAGAAATAGCTATATTAATTGAGCAGTGTGGCATGCTACTTCCTAACTGGGCAAATGTATAGTAGCTTTGGAAATTAGCCAGTCATCTTATCTTACATAATGCTTCTTAGAAGCAAGTATTGTTTGGAAGTTATTCCCTTATCATTCACTCTTTTGTTTATCTATTTTGTTAGGAAATGTTAATTCCTAAAAGTTGCCCAGAATAACTAATGTGAACATTCGGTGCTAATGTTTTGAAACCTAGAATTGTGGTCATTTAAAAAAATATGTTTTTCTCTACTGCTCATTGCCAGGAATCTACCTTTCTTTGCAGTAATAATAGTATTGAATTGCTGGTGATTTTGGCATTGCCAATTCACTAGTATCTTGTATAGTCTTAGAAATAATTGGCCAAGTAATAATTTTTTTCTAGTCAAGTTACAAGGAATGTTTATATCTTTTTCTCTTTAAAAAAAAATTATCCCAGAGCAGGAGGAAGTAAAAACTATTAGGTTGATTTTTGGGTGCTTTTTATAGTACTGTATTTTTCCTACTGTATTGGAAGGGAGCAGTTTTCTTTATCTGGTTCATATATAACTGTTGTAGGTTATATTACCTTGGATAGAACTGGCTTCTTTGTAGGTGAGTGGGGATTGCTTAGGCCAAAAAAATAATATATTCTGTTAGATTTGTTAATGTAAGTATTTGATTTTGTTTTCCTGAATTACAATAGCATTGTTTGATTTTTTTTCCAGTTTTATGATGAGGAAGCATGTAGAGTAAGTTAATTCCCCATAGATGCTATGGAAGTTTTTATGGGATCAGAAATTGGTGATTGTAAGGAAGAAGATATTGTACCATATTTTTACAATAGTTTATTAATTATTTCTTATCTAAAGAACATTCTTACATAAGATAATTACTAGCTAACCAAAATGTTTATGGTCTTCTAGTTATAGGAGAAAGACTGTTCTAGCTGTGTAAGAAATGTTTATTGTCCTTTACCACCACTACACATAAGAGAAAATCTTCCATTGTGTACCCTTATAAAGAATGTAGTTTAAATTCTTTACTTTCTAGCCTGGCATTTATACACAGGGATTCTTACCAGGTTGATGCCATTTAAACTTGGCCTCTCTTCTACACGTGAGAGTTAAGTGTTGGTCTTTTTTTTTTTTAACAGCCAGAGATCTGTAATTGGAAAAAATCATGTTGGTTAATCTTTTCTTTGATACTGTATATTTTAAGACTTTTAGTAAGCATATGGGAATCTCTGAACTGTAGCATGTTGAAAAGTTAAGATATTAAAGAACTAACACAAAACAAAAAGCCCTGGTCCAAAAGAATGCTTTTATTTGGTTCAGAATGTTCTTGGCTTTTCTGCTAAAGTTTACAGAAATTATACTGACCTAATTTTTCTTTATTGTACACCATTTTATATGCTTCCCTGAGACTTTTTCCCCCAGTTAAAGAATCTTGAAGGAAATATTTATAATTTATGTATTCCCCCAAACTTTGATATTCTTGAGTACTTGAAAAGAGATTTTGATCAGGATCATTTTATTAGAAATATTCTGTATACACTTACCTTCATGGTGTTATAAGTTCTGAAAAGTTATATGGCTATGATAGTAACGTTATTTTTAAAAAGTAAATATAAATTTATGGCTAAAAATGACCTAAAGTAGATGACCGCAACAGTGATTTCTTTAGCTGAGAAAATTGTTTTTGAAAATAATTAGTAATCACCTGAGACTGTGTATTTGAAAAATAAACTTTTTTGTTTTTCTCTTGTAATATATTTAAATGGAAAAGCTAATTATAGAAGATTCAGTGCAGATACTAGTGAAGACACTAGTTTAAAGGAACATGTGAAATGGAAATCTCACATTTGCAAATTGCTTTGTCTTTTATTTCACATGCATGTTTTGGAATAGATTTAAAAGAGTGCTTATCCTTTTAGCTTCTATTTTTGTTAGCATCTTCCTGGGACTTAGTTCACGAGTGCAAATCCCAGGGTAAGTGCTGTGATTAGAGGCTGAAAGGTGGGAATATGCTACTGTCAGAGTGAGCCTTCTCCAACTTGAAAATTCAAGTCTCGGTGTTTACGCAATACCACCTCACAGAACTTCAGTGTAAATGGATTATATGTATAAGTGGTAATATGTATAGTTTTGCCGATCTATAGATACAAATGCCTTCACTCATTTTCACATGTAATTGCTTGGAGTATTTGTGTTTTATCGTTTTAATTCTACAGACTTTTGTGTGTTATATCTCTGCTAACTTGAAATATCAGAAGACATTTTTTAGAAAATAATATAGTTGAAATCAGCTCAAATACTCTACAGTAAGACAATTTCTTTTGGGTGAACTAATTCCATAACTTAGTTTAATGTAAGGATTAGGTTCATTGTGGAGCTGCTTTTCAGATCAGACTGTCACTTTATAGTTTTTCTACATAAAGATTATATAGTTGCAAACAAAGGTTGTGGAATTTCCCTTTTGTTGTTGTTTTTGACTTTTAATTAATTACTTTAATAAAAATGTTGTTTTCATAGTAAATTTAGACTGTTCATGTAATTTTCTCTTATAGTTCTTCTAATGCAAGCTCAGAAACCATATCTAGTTTGTAGCAGCTTTCTCCAGAGTAACAGTGATGTGTGGCATTTATTACTCATAGCTAAATCACTCATAGCTAAAATGTTACATTTTACTTGTCTAAACTATAATCATATAATCACTTATTTTTCTTGTATTCTGACAAGAAAATTTTATTTTCTTATTCATGTTTTTTGCTGCTTATGTTATTTCACTTAAGAAAATGTTAAGATGTACAAAAAGAATAGTACAACAAGCATCCAGTATCAGTTTATTTGTATCTGTTTTGTTTCAAAACAACCACAGTATCATCACATTAAATAATAATACATTGGTTCTTTTTTAAGATGTTTTTAATTATGGTAAAATATTCTTAAAATTTTACCATCTTAACCATTTTTAATTGTACAGTTGAGTGGTATTGGGTGTATTCAGTTGTGCAGCCAATCTTTAGAATGTTTTCATCTTGCAAAATTGAAATGTACCTGTGAAACAGCTCCCACACATTGCACCATTTTTCTTACTTCTCATAACCACATTCTGTAAGTGAGAAGATTCCAAAAGATTGTACACCTAGTACAGGAACACTGGTATTCAAATCCAAGTTTGACTTCACCTTGAGGCTTTCCCTCCCTCGTCTACCACTATACCATGTTCTAGTACCTTTAAACATCAAAAAGTTCTAAAAATCTGTTAACACTGTTTTCTAAGACATTGGAAAATAATTTTCTTTTTAAAACACAAGCCGCCCCTCTGCCCACTGCCACCTTGGGCAAACTGAGTATTAATATACAAGCAAGCTTACTATATGCCAGAATTTTCATCAGACAATATATGACATCAGAAAAGTATTTGAGTATGATAATTTATATTAATTTACTACACTTTCAAAATTAATTTGCTTTGAAGGTATATATTTTACCCAATGCTGTGAAGTGTGAAATCACCCTGCATCAACCATAGAAGAGAGCAGAGCGCATGGTTATCATATAGTAGTAGTTATTTAAGCTTTCAGTGGGAACATCTTACATCTAAAATGAGAAAAAACATTGTGCAATACTGATCCCTTTAAGAGATACCTTTTTATACTTAATTTGGTTAACATTTTATAAATTTGGTGATGTGCTGACATTTATTGCATACTAAGTATGTCAAAGTCTGTTCTCATCTTTAGGTTTTAATTTTGTAGAAAAATATTTTAAGCTTGGGATCCTCCAGCCTTGGTCTTCCAGGTAACTGGGATTTATGGACTCAACTACCACATGCTACTGTTGCGTGTAGATTTTTAAAAATATTTCTCATCAGTTATTTGTTATTCTAAAAACTCACTAGCCGTAGTTTTGAAAGGAATCCCATAAAACAATCAGCTGAAATGGACACATGTGGAAAGATCCTGGAAAATAATAGGGAGTTTTGTGGAGTTTTTTGTCCATGTTCAAAGTAAAAAACAAAACATCCATACAGATTACCAGAACTGAGCAACAAGCAATTTTCACAGAATGAGTGGACAGAAAACAGTATCCTGAGGGAAAACAAAAAAGTTTTTAAAAAAGTGAGTGTAATTAAACTTGCATTCTATGTATATCTGCAAATTAGGGTTTATATTTTTATATTATTTAGCAGTAAAAAATTACACTGACTATTAGACTAGGGAGCTAAAACTATGGAATTTGAAAAGGAAATTATACTTTAAATTCTACTCAGAAATAATGGCTTTGTAGTAATAGCCTCAGGATACTGTAAAGCTCTTTGGAGTTCTCAAAGCTAAGTGTCTGGAAGAGCATAACTTTGTTTTTAATCAAACTATTTGGGGACTGGGGATTTAGCTCAGTGGTTCTGGTGCCTGCCTTCCAAGCACAAGTTCCCAAGTTCGATCCCTGGTACCAAAAAACAAAAAAAAAAACCACAAAATCAAACAAACAAACAAACAAACACTATTTGGGTCTTCCATATAACTGAAACATTGAATTTAAAAAGAATACCTACTTTCGGTCAACTACCTTAGCAGCTAAATAATACTATTGCATGAAGTGGTATTGGATGGTTTTTCTTAACTTTGGAGTACTTTGTTTTATTGCCTTGTGAAGTAGCTACTGGGTATGAGAAGTTTATGAAAAGTATTTAGGAGAATGCTTTTCAGTTGGCTTTTGATCATACTATCATTTTGTTAAAAGGGTCTGTCACATCCTTCACTTTTGGATAAGTGGTTTGGGGTTAATACAGGCTTTTTTAGGGCCTAGTGAGGTATCAGGAAACAAAGTGTCCTAACTACTGTAAATTTTTTATCTTTTCTAAGTGCATATTATGCACTTAATGTGGACCTAAGCCCCATAAGCCTCAAGATCATGTATTATTTAGGTTATATATTTCATAGGATGCTTACCCTCAACTTCTGCTACATCCTGTTGTATTTTAAGAACATATTATTTCTAGGAAAATACGCAGAATGTTTAAATCTGTCAAATACTATATATGTGTAAGTGCCACAAAGCAGAAATACCATTCATCAAGCATTTCTCAAGAGGCATCTACATCTAAAAATACTGGTTTAATTCTGAAATGACTGCTTGAATGTATGCTTCGTTTGGCTTATAAAGCAGGTGTATTTGAGAAAGTCTTTGAGCAGGCAGTTACCATTTTACTTGTTCTCATGACTGACATGAAACATGACAGTACTCAGAATATTCTTTATTTGCATGTACTTTATAACTTTTATCAATATATAATAAGGTTATAACAATGTATAAAGAATGAGTTGTTTGGTGGTGTTATTCTGCCCACTATATTTCAGAGCTGTTCATAAGTTGTAGAATTGAACTGTCTGGAATAGCTTATCTTTAAAATATTCATGACTAATAATCATGACATACTGTCCTAACCAGAGTTCAGATGATTCCCTTCAAGTGCTAGTGTTTGTAGAATTCAGAGGCCTTAGCTACATGGTTCATTCCTTGATAGCTTTTCATGTACTTCATATCTCCTTATGTAACTCAGATTGTAAGAAAATAGCCTTTGAGCTACTTTTAGTGATGCTACCTTGGTCCTTTGTCATTTTTTCTTCATACGTCCTTGCATAGCACCCATTGAGGGTTCATGGAACTTTGAGGATCTTGCAAAGCCCCAAAAGACTAAAAGGAAAATGGTTTACCTCTGTTGAAACACCTTTTTGAAGAAAATGGAGGATATAGTGATCTTTTGAAGGAAGTAGAAGACTTATCCTGTCCTCCTTACCTCTCCTTTTTGTCTCCCTACTTTCTCTGCAGATTTTTAGTTCTTTCCTTACAAGATATGTTTCAGATAAGGTAAATATGAGAAACTATGCTCTTGGATAAAGTGGTATTTCTCTTTACCTGATTATGTACACACCTCTGTATGTTTGACCGAATTACTGCCCTGTAAGAAGAAAGGTGGACATAGATATAAAACCACATATTACCACTTTCTTTAATTCATGTATGAAAAAATGTTATGCAGACCCCAAGACCTTTGAGCACTGGTATTTTGTGTGAGATATAACTTTTTTTAAGACAGTGTAATTCAGGCTAGCCTCAAACTCCAGGTGATCCTCCTGCCTTAGCCTCTTGAGTGCTGGGATTACAGGCATGTGCCACCATGCCTGGGATTCGACTTTTGTAGGTGAATTTCTCATCTTGATCATCTTTAATCTAGATTAGCTCCTATAGGGCTTGATGAGGCAAATTTTATAGTAATTCATGTACCTCCCTGCAAACCTAGCTCTTGGTAATTATGTGGTCCAACAAGACTTGACCAACCATACACAATAATGCCTGGACTCCAAAGGCCCAAAGACTCCTGGCTATCACCCGTTACAAAGTATAGGCTCTAATCGCTTTCTGTGGGGAATAATGCCAATTTTATCATAAAGGTGCATTATTGTGGATGTGCAATCCCCATGTTTATTCTTTAGACTATTTCTGTTGAATTATTTAAATTTTATGAGTTTTATATTAATGAGTACTTAATTGGAAAAATATAAAAAAACTTGAATTTTTACTGTTTACAAAAAAGCATCTATTTTTAATACTGACTTTTTTGGTATAGAAAGCCTTAAAAATAACAAATTTCTGCATGAATTACAATGAATATGCCCAATAGAACTCTACATAAAATACTAATTCACACCTAAGGCAGACAATAGCATGTTCCATCCATGTTTATCACTTAAACTGACAGCACTTAAGTTTTGCTTTCCTAGCCTTTTTTGTAGGACATACTTGACACCTCACTGGTCTTGCTGTTTTGTAAGGAAGCTTTTATTTTATTACATGATGTGTAGTTAAAAGGAACATAAAATATCAATACAATAAAGTTAATTTTTTTATTGAGTTTATTGGTACTTTTTAGGCATACAGTACGGTTACATTCATCACTGGGATCTTGTACCTTTACACGATATATCTTGATTCTTATTTTTTCCCTTCATCCCTCCACCCTTCCTTATTTACAAAGATTTTGTTTCCATTTTTTTCCTTTTCTCATATTTTTTCTTTTCCCTTCTTTCCTTTCTCTACACTTCCCACTCCCCCTATTCCTTTAGCCCTTTTCTTCTATTTCACATTATCAATTATACAATTTAATTTTTTTTTTTTGGTTTTTTCAGACAGGGTCTCACTATGTAGCTGAGACTGACCTGGAACTCACTATGTAGCTCAGGCTGGTCTCAAAACTCACAGCGATTCTCCTGCGTCAGCCTCCCGAATGCTGGGATTACAGGCGTGTGCCACCACACCTGGCTAATTTAAATTCTTAATATGTATTGCACACTTAGAATAAGTATCAACATTTTCACATCATCTGTGTACTT